TAGAACATAAGACATAAAAATACACGAGTCCATAGTGATATAAGTAAATGATTGAACAAATTAATAAATGAGATGGAACAGACACTCTCCCATACACAATAATTCCAAATAATTTATATAAATACTCTCTTCTCAAGGAGATGGAGCACAATTGTCTACTTCTTAAATGGGCGGCATAGATATATTCACTTCCTTTCAAAAATTACAGTTTGGAAAGGGGGAAAGGTGACTTCAGTGGAAAAATTCAACAAATATCATTTCAGCAAGGTGATCAAGATTAACATCAACAGTGATAAGGCATACTGACTATATGTACCCTTGATATGATATGATGAGAAGGTTACTTTACCACTGTGGTATTCGCCCCCGAAAACCATATCCCGTTTAACCATGAGAAAAGTACTAACAATCTCAATTTGAGGAATATTCTAAAAACTGCCTGACCACTTAAAAACAGTCAAGGTCATCAAAAACAAGGCAGTTTTGAACACAGTATAGAGAACCCTAAGGAGACTTGTCATCTAAATAAAATGGGGTATTCTGGAATGAAGAGACGATAGTAAGTAAGAATTGGTGGATATAAGTAAAGTAGGCATTATGGTTAATAATAATTTGTCAATGTTGGTTATGAGTTGTGACAAATGTACCATAATAATGTGTCAACAGTAAGGAAAACTAGGTGGGTGTATCCAATAAATCTAATATTTTTGCAAACTTTCTTAAATCAAGAACTATTTCAAAATTTAAAAATTACTTTAAAAAAAAATGTATTAATTTGATTCAGGATTTGACCTAGAGCTACAGTCTAGAGGAATTTTCTTAGAAGAACAACAACATTGTTTATGCCATTCATCTACATTACTATGTATTTACCTGATTACTCACAAATTAAGTTGATTTAATAAAACATAATATAATTTACTACAGCAAATTTTACCTCCTTTGCTAAGTATTGACTATAATTGTATTGACTGAGAAATGGTGATATAAAGTCAAAAGACAATTTCTTCAATTCACTTAGATAAGTTTTCTTGTATCTGAGAACATGAAGCTGGTAGTCCCCTCAAACAAGATTTATACTAAGGGTAGCTAGGTACATAAATAAGGTAATGATACTTAATATTGGGCCTGCCTTGTTACTTTGGCTAACCATAATGTAGTAATAAATATCCTCTAGACTACCTAATTGGAATTTCCCAAAGTGCATAATTTTCTATGCTTCTGTGTATTCTTTTGTTGTACTTTCAATAAATTCTTCAACTAAATAACAGCTCTATCATCTTCAATATTCAGTTCATCTGTTACCTCTTCCGTGAAGAGCTTCCTAATCCCCAATATGAACCTGGGCTCCTTTGTGCTTTTATCACACCTGTTGAATATCCTTACAAAACTATGTGGTAACAAAGTTCTCTCACATGGTTCCTCTTTGAACTACTACATTCTTGGGAGGCAGATTTCTTTGCAGTTACGTGTTCTTAGTTCCTAGCATAGTGCCTGGAAAACAGTGAAGCCTCCATAGATTAATTAAATGAATACACATAACATGGGAGATAAAAATATGACCAAGTTTTTAAAAAATTAAATAGTGGGGGGTGGCTGGGGTTGTGGCTCAGTGGCAGAGTGCTCGCCTAGCACGTGTGGGGCACTGGGCTCGATCCTCAGCACAACATATAAATAAGTAAAACAAAGGTATTTTTTAAAAATAGTGAATAACACTTTCAGAAAACATGATTAAGGAGATTGAGATGCTTAATATTTTGAAATGTCTGTGGGGCAAACATGTTTTTTCAGAAGATATTCTGGAATGACTCACTGATCTGAGTCAGTATGATATCTAATATTCTGTTGTGGTTTGAAACACCTGTCTGTCTATAACTTATTTATGCAAATAGTTCTTTTAAAAAGTCAGGATCCTCTCAGCTGGTAGAGTGCTTGCCTCGAATGCACAAGGCTCTGGGTTCAATCCCCAGCACCACACATACACACACACACACACACACATACACACACAGTTAGGATCTTAACATAAAGAAGAAAGTGGGGTGCATGTCTTATTCAATCCTCAAGCCGCCTAGAGTTCCTCATTGCTATTTCTCTTTACTTTCTCAAATCCTCCTACTCCATTGAAGTATTGGCCACCACCTCTCCTGGTTGTAGCTATTTTCAGACCCATTCACGCCTCTTCATTCTGTAAATATTTTAGTATCAAGTTTTGTGCCTTTCTCTATAAACATAACTACCCCTGCAGTTTTAATATGTAGGTAATACTTTCACCTATCCAATATATTAGTTTGGATTAGGTTTGGCTATATATAAAAAAACACACACCCCCTCCCCGCCAAAATGATTTAAAAAAGACGGAAGTTTATTTCCCTCTCACATAAAAAGGTCCAGAGGTAGGCAGACTTGGTATACAACAGCTTCGAAGTTTGTTTTTCTGCTCTATCATTCTTCTCAGCTACCTCATGGTCCAGCTACCTCATGCTGGATTCCAGCCATTCTATGAACATCCCACAAGAAAGGAGGAGAAATGTAAGGGCATACCCTTTCTTTTAAGATTTAATGTAAGTTCCATATAAAATTTCCTCTTAGATCTCGCTGGAAGAATGTAATCACATATATCTTGCTATCAGGAAAGCTAAAAAACGTGCCATACCATATGGTTGTTATGCTTTTATCACACCAAGGTTATTATACCACGGTTATTGAAAAGGAAGAGGAAACAAATGTTGAAGTGGGCCTCTAATACTCTCTGCCATCTCATTTTTCAGTTCTATGACCTTACTCTGATGATTTTATGATAAATCTCACCTCACCTACCTACACCTACGGTCATATCTAAGACAGTCAATGCGAATAACTGCAATAGCACTGAAATTTCAATGTCAAACATTCTACACTCCAAACCACTCTTACCTACTCAGTTCATTCACTCTGGTATTTTTGACTCCCCTAGGCCCTCCATCAATTTGCTCTTCATTTCCCAGCCCAACCGGTTTAAAACCCATGACCCAACATTATACTCTCACCCTGTTATGCACTCTCAACTCTTTTGTTGCCCTTCTCCATGTAACAGCTAATTATGATGACAACAATACTATGGTGGATTGGCTTGTCTTATACTCATAACCACCATACTTAGACCTTTAGTACAATCTGCCACTCACACTTCATTTTTCTAGTCAATTATCTATCCTACTATTCTAGTTGATTATTTCTCACCTCCCAACTGCTCAAATCTAAAATACTTTGTCTTCATTCAGCTAATCACCTTGCTGCTTTTTTTCCCCTAAGAGAATAGAACCAGTCAGAATTATTCTGAGTCCCACGAGGAAGGATGACAGGAATTGAGGGTGAAAGGGGAAAAAGTAAGGATAACCCAAAGGAGGTGCTCAGACAGTCAAGAATTTGGAGAGGTGAGCAAGGGGTTGTGGTAAAATTGCACTTTCTTTCCTTAAACTGTTTTTGATCAATAGCAAGAAGATGACTTAAGTCATCATAAGGAACAGAGCAAAGAATGGGGGAGCAGTATATTGACTTAAGTAGACTTTTCAAAATCATAATACAAGAACAGACTTTACAACAAACAGGGCTGCGCACTCAGAAACCCTGGTTTGTGTGACTTGGAGTTCCACAGCCCTGTGCCTAATCTCCTTAGAAATGTAGTGAACAGTATTCCTTTACCCTTCATTCTGCAAATGTTTATTGAAAGCTTACTCGGTACAAGGTGTGTGCAGAATATAAAAAGGGATCAAATCTGGATCTGCTCTCTATCAGCTGTTAAAGCAGCAATTTTCTCACTTGTTAAGTGAAGATTCTGGTTCTGTACATGGGGATGGGGCCCTGGATTTTGCATAGATTCTAACAAGCACCCAGGTGATACATGAATGCTGCTGGTCTATATATGTGACACATATTTAGTAATAAAGGTTTCTGCTGGGAACAATAAGTGCCACTTCATAAAATCCTGGACCCCTCCCAACCCTAGAATCGTCTGTGACCTTTTTATACATTCTGTGTGCCTTCTGGTGTTTTTGTTGTGGACGTTTCTCTTGGATTTTATTTCTTCTGGAGTTAATCATTGCAAATGTTATTTCTTAGCTTATAAGAGAATTCTTCTTCTAACCATTCACTAATTTGTCAAGGTCTATCTACAACTAGACACTGCATCTTGAATTCTTCCCCAGACCCCAATTCGGGCTGACTACTCTTTCCTGTGGTTTGGCACAGTCTTAGCCTCTAGCCTTGACCTCTACTCCCTCAGCCTGGAGATGGAGTCTATTATTCCTTATAGGAACCCATCTTTCCCGGTCACCGCTCAGGGCAATGCGGCTCATAAAATGTTTTGGCGTACCTGAGGTCGCGTGAGACGCCCCGAAAGAAAGCAGCACTGGTCCTGTGGCAGCGAGTCCCGCGAGTCCTCCGAGCTGTTTCCTCGCCAGAGTGTGCGGAGCCCGCGGCTCCCACGTCGCCGCTGGAGCAGACCCTGCCCGGCGCCCCCGCGCGGCGCTGGAGGCTGCGCGCGCCCACCATCGAGGCGGCGGCGGTGGCTAGAGAGGCGGGCCCGGGCTCCGCAGCGGAGGGCAGCAGGAGTGCGCAGGGGCGGCCCCGCGCCGCGGGCCTCGTAGCCATTTTAGGAGGAAACCCAAATCGTCACCCCGGGTGCAGCTTCAATTTCAATAACTTTATTGGTGGCCTTGTCCGCAGGGCGGCCATCGCGCCCGTGGTCCCGGGGAGAGGGAGCGCATCGCTGGAGGTGATCGGGGTGGGGGAGTGGGCGCGGGACTGCGGGGGAGTCCCGAGGGTGGGTTTTCAGAGCTGGGGCGACGGGAGGCCCGGGGGCATGCGGGCGTCCCTGTAGGCCGGGAGGTTGGGGACAACGGGGCGTGGTTTCCTGCGGCGGGGATTCCCTTCCCGGGTCCCCAGGCGCAGAGGCGGGGCGGGTGTGCCCCTGACGCGGCCGCTGGGGTGTTCCCCGCCAGGTGTAGTTCTTCACGCCAGGTGGCCCCCGACTCGAGCTGCAGCCATGGGAAACACCACCAGCGACCGGGTGTCCGGGGAGCGCCACGGCGCCAAGGCTGCACGCGCGGAGGGCGGCGGCGGCCATGCCCCAGGCAAGGAGCACAAGATCATGGTCGGGAGCACCGACGACCCCAGCGTTTTCAGCCTGCCGGACTCCAAGGTACTCCTCTCCGCGGCCCCCGACCGTGGCCATGCAGCTGCCGCTTGGCTTCCGGGCTCCGTGTTTCCTTGGCTCCTTTTTCATCACATTGAACTGAGTTACGGGATTTTTTTATTTTTTATTTTTTTTAAGGGATTTCCCGGGGACAGAGGTGTTCGGTCGTAAATTCTTGTGGTGCCGCCTCAAAATAGGGTAGACGTGTAGTTCTTGTTTTCTTGGTATTTTAACTAAGCCTTGAGGCACATTTTTAAGGCAGAAACTATAGACACCTTCCCCGCCCGCACCATCCTTGATTCTTCTGAGAATTTATAGGTTGTAGACTCGGGTGGAAAACTTGTGAGGATAATTTATTTGAACCGCTGGCCCTAACATACATTTTCCTGGAAATGGCTAAGTGAATCCCCCCCCCCCCCCCCCTGAATTTTCTATTTGTTTGGATCCCTTTTGCTCTATTAGGAACTCTGTACTTTGGGTCCTTATCCCTTTTGGCCTGATTGTGACCAGCCACCACTTATTTACTTGAATATTTGTGCCTAGTGTTGAAGATAAATAAAGGGCATCATTTAGTTGACTGTTCATTTTTTGTCCTATACTTTGTAGTTGTGGTGACAGGATGTGCTTTCAGGCCAGCTTCTCCAAGTGGGAGAGCCAGTGATTCCCAGATAGCTCCAATCTGCACTAGTCCTTCAAAATATTTCCTTGGCCTAAAAGCAACAATACCCACCTGAAGACCTTGCTTTCAGTTGAAGGACTTACAGGAAGAGGCCACTTGTGTTCACCCTAACAGAAAAGACAGATGGAGCTGACAGCAATGTGATTACCATCCTCATGTTTCTAATCACTTAGAAGTGTCAGCATAAATACTTTTAATTCTTTCTGGTAGGCTGTTCAGGGATGAAATAGAAAAATGGAGGGAATGAGGTGATTAGGGGTATGTGTGGAAGCTTTGGAGAGAATTTAGTTTTATTTGCCATAATGGTAGTGCATGAAATTTAGATATTAGGTTTAATTTTTTTTTTTTTGATCCCAATTGAGAACATGATCATAGAAGGAGAAATGAGAGTGATTGAAAGGAGCATTTCTTGGGGGCTTTTTCTCCATTCCTTTCTTTTCTCTTCCACTTCAGAACTTCTTCCTCTTCATTTGGTCTGTCTACCCAGTCATATATATTTACTTCTTTAAAGCTTTCCCAAGGTGATGGACCTCATTGTAGTTTTACCACTTTTCTACATCAATGACTCAGGATTTAAGTACATTGTATTTGTCAAAGTATTTTGTCAAGCTATGACTGAAGTCATTGGTGTCTTGAATAAAAACCAAGTTGTTCTGTGTGAATTGGGGCCTATTCTGGATCATTCTTTCCCTCACTTCAATCTTGCCATTTGGAAGATTGAAGTGGGAAGTAAGAAAATGGGTCATATAATTCTTAATCCCATCTAAATCTAAGGGTTTTTACCCTACCCTTTTCTTTGCCTCTATATTTTATTAAAACTTCTTCAAATTATAATTTTAGTTGTTGTTTTGTCTTTTATTCCCTGGTGGTTCTGCTGTTTTACTTTAAGTAATCAATTTTTCTGGTAGTCAGCAGCATTCATTCCTACCACAGAAATGTCACGTCCTAAACGGAAGGGCTTTGTTCCAAAATTTGGAGCATTAATAGTTTGTGGCTTCAGATTCTAAAGGAAAAATCCTAAGTTGTAAAATAATTGATAGAAACAGTAGCCATGGGGCCTACATTGGATACCACCCTTTTTTTCAGCAGACTAATTCAATGGTTCTCATCTTATTTGTGTTTTGGAATCACCTAAGATTTGCTTAAATACTTTATGGAAAATTTGAATCATTTACAAAGTAGGGAGAATAGTATAATGAATTCTGTGTACCTCTCACCAAGTTTAGACATTGATCAAGCACAAATGAATGTATATCAACCATACCCTAATTCTACTGTCTCTCCACCAATTTTTTTTAAGCAAATTCCAAATGTCATTACAAATTTCTGTATTTTTAATGTACCCAAAAAGGTGAGTTTTTTTTCTTTATTTTAACATAATCAAAGTCTTATCTGGGATGATTTTAAAAATAGATTTCCAGATCCCTATATCTGAATTGTAATCTTAGATTATTCTTAGGCATATGCAAAAATTCCTGTAATTCTAATGCAGCCAGTCAGACAGAATGCATTGTTTTGATTTTAAAAATAGATTTCCAGATCCCTATATCTGAATTGTAATCTTAGATTATTCTTAGGCATATGCAAAAATTCCTGTAATTCTAATGCAGCCAGTCAGACAGAATGCATTGTTTTGAGAATATGGAGATAGGTTTTCTCTTAAGCTAATTCCTTGTAATAATGTAAAAGCTCCTTCAGTTTTCTTTTTTCAGCTTTTTTTTTTTTTTTCCTTTTAGTTAATTAAGTACTTACTCTGCTGTTTTGGGGCTGGAACCCAGGGCCTCACATCTACTACATCCACGGATCTTGGATTTTATTTTAGATTATGTGCCTAGTTTCTCATATTGTAATCTTGATTTCCCCCAACTACCCCCCCCAAAAAAAACCCAAGTAAATAAGCTAGTTTTTTTTTTTTTTAATGCACATTATTTTGTTTGGTAATATCTTTACTTAACACTGTATGATCTTATTTATCTGTTTACCAATTTAAGTTTAAGCCAATTTAAGGCAGGGCTTAGCAAACATTTTCTGTAAAGGACCACATGGTGAATATTTTAGTCTTTGTAGCTCAGTCTTTCACAACTGCTCAGTTCTGCAACTGTGGCATGAAAATATTTGTAGATAAAAGGTATACAAATGAATGTAGCTGCTTTTCAGTAAAAACCTTATAAAAGCACTTAGCTTACTGGCTGTAGTTTGCCAACTACTGGTCTAAAGGATGGTAATGAAAAACAAAAAACTAAGGAGTTAATGTTATTCAGAATCACGCAAACCTTATTTGATTATATAATTGTTTTTGTTAAAGGAAACTGTTTTATCTTTTGCTGTTTGAGGTGCCAAAATTTGCATTCCTATACCTCAAATAGAATAAACTTGGCATAGGTGAGCAAGTAAGATTTCATAGCCACTTTTTTTTTTTTTAGCAGTACTGCCTTTCACTAGCTAGACCAAGTGCTCTACCACTAAGCTACATCCTCAGCCCACTATTTCTCCATTTTATAAAAGTCAATGATCCAGTTTTCTTTTTATTAGTTAACTGATTAATCTGTGGTTCTGGGGTTTGAACCCAGGGCCTTGCACAGGCTAAGCAAGTGCTCTGGCATTGAGCTGCTTCCCCAGACCTTTGATATTAAATTTTTAATGTCTCTTCATTGTGTATCCTATTAGCTAAAATAGAGTTTATAAATTACTTATGAAGTTTGGTATCTGTAACTTTCATTACAGCTGATAATTGAGAGCTATTTATAGTTGCTTGTGAAAAATATATACCTGACAATTTTTAAAAATATAGCTATCTTTTGTTTTCTTTTTTCTCCCTTAAGAGGTACTCAGAAGCATGTCATAATTGCCTGCCTATGAGTTAAATGGTAGTAAGGGAGTAGGGTTTTCTTTTCTTTTTTCAAGGGCAATCTTGAGGCTCTGACAGAGTAAGTAATATTTGCAGACTCAAAAGTTAGACTCCTGATTCATGCAGCACTTGAGCATAAGCCATTTGACCATTTTTGGTTCAAGATAAGTTCTTTTCCTATGGTTTGTTAAAAATCTGATTAGTTTCTAATTTTAAGGCATGTCTCCATAGCTGAAGCCTAGCACCCCTCTCTACCCTAAAAAAAAAGAATGATCTTTTAAGAATCCCTGGGTCACAATTTATTCTAGGGATGACCTACTCCTTCTTACAGCTCCCTGGGGACAAAGAGTTTTTATCATGGCAGCAAGATTTGGACGACTCTGTAAAGCCCACCCAGCAGGCCCGGCCTACTGTTATCCGCTGGTCTGAAGGAGGCAAAGAGGTCTTCATTTCTGGGTCCTTCAACAATTGGAGCACCAAGATTCCACTGATTAAGAGGTGAAGAAGATAAGTGTCTTGATTGAGGCTAAGGGGTCCAGGAATAGAGACCTGATTTCCTTTCTAATAAGAGTGAACAGGCTGGACTTCCCATCTCCACTCAACTAGATGTTCTCTTTAGAATATGCCCCTTTCTGTGACCACTTAGTATCGATGGCATTTTTTTTTTTTTTTTTTTTTAGCAATAGACTTTTTTTTTCTTTATTTTTATGTGGTTCTGAGGATTGAACCTAGGGCCTCATTCGTGCAAACCAAGCGCTTTACCACTGACCTACAACCCCAGCTCAATGGCATTGTATTTTAACCTCATTGTGAGTCGAATGCTTTACCACTTAAAATATCATTACCTCAAGGGAAATTGTAACAGTTTTGTGGGTGTATTTTTTAGGATGGTGTTACACAGTCTTTTTTTTTTTCCCCAGTTGTAGATGAACACAATACCTTTATTTATTTTTATTTTTATGTGCTGCTGAGGATCAAACTCAGTGCCTCACACATGCTAGGCAAGTGCTCTGCCACTGAGCAACAACCCCAGCCCTTACACAAGTCTTTTCTATGCTTGGAGGAAATCTGTAACTGACTGAATCTGTTGCTCTGACTTCTGCACTAAAGCAAAATGCACTGTGAAGTTTGCTATAGTAGTATTATTTGGTGCTTGCAGAGCAATAGTGAATCAATTGGTTTTCTAGTAATGGCTCACCAAAATACAGAAAGTATTTTAAGTACTTTTATATTCCAGACCTCATTGTTATGGTTTTTATACTTGTGATGGATCTGTTCTACAGGAGCAAAATAGTTATACTAAGGTGAACCATCTTGGGAGATCGTTGACTATTTTTTTCTAAACATTGATTTAAGAACCAGAATTTTTGGAAGGGTTGGTAAATATATGTCCAAGATGATAAAGAAAAAAAGACCTGATTTTATACATTATTTTTTTTTACATGAGGGATATAGTGGCTTAGGGATGTGAGAGGTCATTGGTACAATACTGTAAATACCACTTATTGTTTAACATTCTGTCTTCTAAAAGGAACTTGACTGTTTGACCTTCTGTTTTCTGCTGTAGCCATAATGATTTCGTTGCCATCCTGGACCTCCCCGAGGGAGAGCACCAATACAAGTTTTTTGTAGATGGACAATGGGTTCATGATCCATCAGAGGTAAGTCTTTGATCTACAAAGGTCCCCATGACTTAGTAGCCTCATTTTAACTGTCATTGCTATCTGAATTGATGGGTAGCAGTTCTCCTATACTACAGAATTCTTCTAGAGATAAAAGATGGAGATTCCGATTATGATCATTTTTCACCTTTAGTAGAAACAGAGAGGAGGTTGGATGGAAGAAAGGAATTTGAAAAGGGGATTCAAGAATTTTTTTTCTGCTTATTGTTTCAGCCTGTGGTTACCAGTCAGCTTGGCACGATTAACAATTTGATCCATGTCAAGAAATCTGATTTTGAGGTGTTTGATGCTTTAAAACTAGATTCTATGGAAAGTTCTGAGACATCTTGTCGAGGTAATTTTATAGTATTTGCTCTTTCTTGCCATGTATTTCTTATAACCCAAAAGTGGTTTTTAAATTTCCTTCATGAAAGTGGTCTTTTAATTTTGTTTTGTATTTCCATATCTTCACAGAATCCTATCTTCTGAATCCTGCATATATCTGCATATGTATATATACACACATATTTCTTATATGAACATTTAGGTCCCCTTTTTTATATATAGCAAAAAACATCTCAGTCTGGTATACTTTAACTTTTTAACCAGGATTTACAGTAAGACATTTATTTTGCTTTGCAACCCAGAACACAAATACAAAAACATACAGAAGTATAATATGTGGTATAATATTTACCTTTATTTCATGTGATGTATTTTTTCTGTTTTTTAAAAATATTTATTTAGTTATTAATTTTGGTACTGAGGATTGAACTCAGAGACCCTCTACTAACTGAATCACAACCACAACCCCTTTTATTTTTTTATTTTTTGGGAGGGGTTTCCAGAGATTGAACTTAGGTGCACTCGACCACTGAGCATCATCCCCAGCCCTATTTTGTATTTTATTTAGAGACAGGGTCTCAGTGAGTTGCTCAGTACCTTGATTTTTTTGCTGAGGCTGGTTTTGAACTCACAATCCTCCTGCCTCAGCTTCCTGAGCCACTGGGATTACAGGTGTGTGCCACCATGTCTGGCAACTCCTTTTATTTTGAAACAGGGTTTCACTGAGTTGTTGTGTCTGGCCATGAACTTGAGATCCTCCTGCCTCAGCTTTTTTGGATCACTGGAATTACAGGCTTATGCCACAGCACATAGCTGCTATTATATTTTTTATAGCCCACTAGTGGGCTCTAGCCTAATGTTTGAAAACTCTTTCTAATAATATTTCAAGTTTTCCATTGACTTTTGGTGGTATCACCCAGCAGAGGTTAGATGAGCTTCATTTGTCTTATTAAACTACTCAACTTAATCTTGTTATTTTGATAAATCAGTTTGCAATTCTATAGTTTTATAAGGCCCTACAAGTTAGTAGTCCTTGGGGAAAAGTAGTTTTTTTTAAAAAAAAAAAAAAAAAAAACCACAATAGGGCTGAAGAGTTGTGGCTCGGTGGAAAGCACTTGCCTGGCGTGTATGAGGCCCTGGGTTGGATCCTCAACACCGCATATAAATAAATAAATAAAAATTAAAAATCCATTGTCAACTCAAAAATATTTAAAAAAAAAAAAAGAAAGACTTTTAAAAAAATAATACTTTGCAATTCTTTTGAATATAATAAAAAATTTGTAAATATTTAAGTTTTTTTTTTTTCAATTGTAGATGCACATAATACTTTTATTTTTGATTGATTTATTTTTATGTGGTGCTGAGGATTGAACCCAGTGCATCACACATGCAAGGCAAGCACTTGATCGCTGATCAATATACCTCTAGCCCCCAAATTTTGTAAATTTTTAATTATGTTTTTGATTTCCTTGGAAATATTGGGAAATAGGGCAAAGATTATTTTTATTTTTATGGATGAGGAAACTGATTGTGTTAAAGGGATTTTCCAAGGTTGTATAGATGACAAATGGGGTAGCTCTTTTCTGAGCTCAAGTCTAGGACCCCTCTCCTCTTCATGGAATCATGTTTCTGTGTTGGGTAACTTTTTCCTTGTGCTACTTAACACTTGTAGACCCAGTAGGTTACAAGTTATGATCCATGACTTCTATATTTAATATTAGTGGCCATGTATTTTTTTCGTGCATTATCCTAATTTTCCTACTTTGCCTTATATTTGTGGAAATATCTTTTAGACCTTTCCAGTTCACCCCCAGGGCCTTATGGTCAAGAAATGTATGTATTTCGATCTGAAGAGAGATTCAAATCCCCACCCATCCTTCCTCCTCACCTACTCCAAGTTATTCTTAACAAGGACACTAATATTTCTGTAAGTATCCTGAGAATATTTCTGGAGCATCTGGGGAACTGTAGGATTAATTGGGCCAAAATTCAGTAATCCTAGAAATTGGGATTATTATAAAGGTATACTGAGATTATAAATTATATATAGGAATATCGTTATAAACTCCTTTTACCAAGGCTGGGTTGTATCTTCAGGAACTAAAATGAAAGTTTATAGTTGTCTCTGTTCCTGAAAAAATCAGGACCACACTATATTCTAGAACCAGTTTCTGAGATTTCCATCATGAGATAAGGAATACTTATCACTTGGGGGTATACAAAAGAGTTATAATTTTTATTTGCATAAAATTGACTTCTGTATTTATTCTCATTGGTTCTCACTAAAATTATTTTTGTCATTTAGTGCAAATCTCCCATAGTTGTTGTAGGCAAGATTTTTGTTTTAGCTCTATTAAGAATAGTACATCTTGATGCTTAGGGTTTCTGCACTGAACTGAGAATTTTCCAGATTTTCTGTAATAAGAATGTATTATTGATATGCACTGGAGTGGATACATTATTGAAAGGAGATAAGGTGTTCTTAACAGTGCCAAAGAGCTCTGAGAAAGAGTAAGCTATTTTGTTGTCCATGCAACTAATGATTTTCTTTTTCTTTTTTTTTTTTTTTTTTTGGTGTCTCTTAGTGTGACCCAGCCCTACTTCCTGAGCCCAACCATGTTATGCTGAACCATCTCTATGCATTGTCTATTAAGGTAAGTGTTGTCCTTGGTTCTTCACATCTCCCTTATATGAGGGGATAAGGGTAACATATACTGTGCAGTGGTTACTTGCTCAACTACTACTAGCTGAAGGTGACAGCAGTGGTTAAGAAAAACTTTTTTTTTTTTTTAGCTAATGCATCCTTTGTTTTAAATCTCAGTTTCTGTGTCTGCGTTCTAGCTAGCTGAATTGTCCAGTGATTAAATGTTCTTTTTTGTTTCCCAGTTTCTTTTGGGTGGATAGAATCTTTATACCACCTACTTATTTGAGTTTATGGCAGTAAGATTTCATTTGCAGAAAAATAAGTTTTGTTTCTAGTTCAAAGAATGCTTGAATGTGATAGTAAGACTTCTTTCTGGTTTTTTAAATGTGGAATTGAACTACTTTTAGATGTCTCTGTTGTATATACCCGAATGCTTGCTTCTTTCTTGTGTAGTAGGTAAATGAGAAAGTGACCAGACTTGCCTTGTTCCCTCTAGCTCTAAAGTCTGCCTTTCTTTCTCTGTTGCTTTAGAGTCTGGGATGAAAATATCTGTTGTGTTCTGTCTTGTCATGTCTGGTTTGGCTATTAGAATAAAGTTATATCGCTTTGTGACTGTCAAAATAAGCTGGTTATCATCAGAATAACCTGGAGAAGTTTGTGAGCATACAGATTCAGTGGCTCCATCTCCAAAGTCTTCAAAAAAGTACATTGAGATCTGGCCACAGTGATTTTCCTTTAAACTGCCTTTTTTTTTTTTTTTTTTGGTACCAGAGAATGAACCTAGGATTCTTAACCACTGAGCCACATCCCTGGCGATTTTTGTATTATTTTTATTTTGAGACAGGATTTTGCAAAATTGCTTAGGTCCTCATTGTGTTGCTGAGGCTGACTTTAAACTTGCAGTCCTCCTGCCTCAGCCTCCCAAGTCACTGGGATTATAGCCATGTGCCACTGCTCCCAGCAAGCTGCTTTTATTTCTTAGATGTGTAGCTAGATTAGGGAAATCACTGGTAGAGCCAAGATTAATAGATTGTATGGTAATACAGAAAATTTAAAAATATATTGTTGAATTTCATTTATAATAATAACCTTGTGAGATAAGTATTATTTTTAACCCCTGTTTTATAGATAAACTAAGACTCAGAGAAGGTCAAATTACCAGTAAGTAACAAATAGGATTGAGGTCCTATCTTCTTATGTTAATTCCATGTTATTTCCTCTGTATCATCATGCCAGGTTTACCAAATAGGTCTTTCTTTGACCTGCTTCTCATTTCTATAAAATCTTTACTGGGATTATATGCATGTATTTTACTAGGGCTTGAATCCAGGGTCTGTGCATGCGAGGGGAGCACTCTACCTCTGAGCTCTACTCTAGCATTTTATTTTTTTTTAAATTTTGAGATAGGATCTTGCTAAATTGCCTAGGCTCACCTTGAACTTGCCTCAGCCTCCTGAGTAACTAGTATTACAGGCATGCCTAACTTTAGTTGATTTTTACCTGCCTTCTATCATATTTAGGCTATGTTAATATAGTTTGGTCAATGTGTTAACCTAAGATGCATTCATTATGGATAATATAGTATGGGGGGAAGGTAGGAAGATATATTGGTTTCTAAATTGGATTGGCTTTGGGTTTTTTGGTTCTGATTGAATTTTGTCAGCTATAACTGCTTGTTGACTGTCAATTGAAGTCACAAGCCTGCCATCTCCTCCTATGGTTTATCCACATGTTGTAACATAGTCTGGGAAATGGTAGTTCTTACTCTTCTTGAATGTCTTTCTAAGGAGGATTTTGTCTATATTTTTTTCAAGGAGAGAGAAGAGGATTCCTCAGTTTCTTCTATATCAGGATTTATTTTCTTTTGTTCAACCCTGATTTTCTTTTTTTTTTTTTAATAATGAAGACTGAGGTTTTTTTTTTAATGCTTCTCTTTTTTTTTTAATATGGTGCTGAGGATCAAACCAGTGCTTCACATGTGCCAGTCAAGAGCTTTACCACTGAGCTACAACCCAAGTACACCCTGATATTAAATGGAAATTAGACCTGCTTTAGGACTTTGAAATGGTTTTTTTAGAAGGATTATTTTCCTTCTCATTGCATTTAAGATTTCCTTCTAGAAATTAATGCCAGTGTATTTCTTTTTTCTTGGGTAGTTTTAAGCTCAGTATTAAATTTGAAATGAGGAAGGAAGAATAGTAGGAAGTTAGTAGTTTCTTTAGCACCTTTCATGTGTTGGGTACTGTGTCAGATATTGTGTGATCATCTGGACCACCTTAATGGTAGGTGTTATTCTCTGTATGAGGAGGGAAAAAAGGACTTAGAGACCTTAAGTAGATTACCCAAGGCTACAAATACAGTAACAATAGGAGTCCAGTTTGGAACTGAAGTTGATCTGACTCTAAAATCAACCTCTTTATTACATCAAATTATCTCTGTGAACAGTGAATGACTGTGTAGTACTATTGGCTGGGAACATCTGCCTCCCATAGCAACTAAGAAATTAACTGCATGTGCTTCTTTTTCTGCAGGACAGTGTGATGGTTCTTAGTGCAACCCATCGCTACAAGAAGAAGTATGTCACTACGCTGCTGTACAAACCCATCTGAAGCCATCCTGTCTTGCCTTCATGGATTCAGGAGAAGCTTCTCCCTTGCCTTTGAACTGAACCAGTCTTACTTGAGACTGGAAGGCTGATTTGCTTTCAGGCCAATATGTGTGTTTCAGAGCTTCTGAGTAGGATGCTCTGCTTTTGCATTTGATTGCAGATGAGAGCTTTATGAGTTCATGGAATTTATTTTAAGAAGAAAACATATACATATGAAGGGAAGGTTATTGGAAGCCTAGCCCCAGCTATGGGTATTCACCAGGACCCCTTTTGGGGAGCTATAGAGATAACTGTACAGGGAGGTTTTTTTCCCTAAAATGAAAGAACAGCAAACTCTTGTTGGGTGAAGATTCTACCACTGCTACCTTTGGTGTCCAAAAAATGAACTTGGGCTAGACTGTTGCCCTACTTATAGCTTCTGCCTCACAGGGGCAGCTTCTCTTGCATGGGGTCTCTGTATTTTCACAGTGTGTGGCACAGTCTGTGTTTTTTGATATAACAAATGCCTCACAAGAACGCTTTGTTTTCTTATTTCACATTCTTTCTTTAATAGCCTCCTTCAGATCCCATACCTGACCCCTCACAAAATTCTTTCAGTTAAGTGACCCCTTTGGAAAGTTCTGTGGGACCTGACCACCTTATTGATGATGGTTGTCAGAATATCTCCTTTTTAGCCCACCAGAAGCCCAAGCCACTTTGTTACCACTTGTTTTAAACTTCTACTAAAGAAAATATGGGTTCAATGTTATAAGAAAGGCATATGCAGAAGATCTATTTTTTTCTTTTAATTTGCTACTACAGCTTTGACTGTATGGCACATAGGTTTTCCTGTTTGGCCTGGCCTTGCTTCCAGTTATGCTTTCTCAGAGCAGACAGCTCTGCAGATAGACATGGACCAGGCAACACTTCTAGGACTTTTATCCTTGAAAGATTTTTATGTGCCTGCATTTTTCTTTAATTAAAAAAATTCCTTTTCATTGATCTTAAAAGACTGTAGTAGAGAACTTAAGGCTTTTAATAAATGGTCCTTAAGATTTTCTTCTTTAGTTAGAGGAGACTGTACTCTTATGTTAATATGGCCAGACCCATGTTCATCTTTATCCCAAGTACTGCTCTTGATACAAGTTCATATAGACTCATTGATACACATATGGATTCCCTCAACTGTTAAGATGTAAAGGCCATGAGGCAAGAAAGTATTCCTGGAAGGGTCTTTGTACTAAATAGTAAGAAGATCACTTTTTTCTTTCTGCCGCTTTTTTAAAAATGTGTTTAGTAATGAGGTGGGGTCACTGATTTCCATTTATGGACTGAAAAGTATTCAATCCACCCTTGGGGTTCAGAGATAAGACGTTTTTTCCAAGTATCTTGGCTCTTCCATTTTACAGATAAATGCAAGTCAAACATTCAACCTTGAAGGAGGCCATACTTGATGGTTGAGAGACTCCTTGACTGCTAAGATGAACCCAGCCACACTGAAAGGGCACTTACAGGTCAGTTTAGCTACCTCTTGTTTTTTCCATGCAAAGCTGACAATTCAGTTATCTTTGGGAATGTAGACCTCCTTGATCCCAGGTATGAGGCAATAAGATGTGGGCTTGTAGTTTAGCAGGGAGTGCAAGCTACTAAGTGCATTGATGGTTAATTGTGGAGAGTAAATACTGCTTTTGCCTTTCAACGCCACCTTCTGCAACAAAAGGTTTTTGTGGAGAACCTTTTATGGTCCAAACCATTTTGTCAGTGGTGTGCCATTATAAAAATCCAGGCCAAATCCTATTTTAACCAACTCTCAGGACCTATATAGTCTTTAGTTGTGCTGGAATTTTGTTCTTACCCAATATCCATTAAGTAATTGGGCCACCTAGAAGGATTTAAAATCTTGGTTACATGGAGGATTCTTTCATATTCATTTCTTGTTAATAGTACTGAAATGCCATTATCTGTGTGTTTATGTATTAAACTTTTTACTCCAAATGGGTATATCAGTATTGTGGGACAGGGAAAGAAATTTCCTCTATGTGTCTCAGACCAGAGGCTTCTTGTCAGTTGGGTCTGGCTCTAATGACAGTATGTTTTATTGTGGGTAATCTTCAGATTTAAATGTAGAAATGTACAGATTTTGTTTCCCAAATTCTTCTTGCCCAGCCAGATGTAAAATAGGTGCCTACCAGTAGGTATGGAAAGGGATGTGTAGGGGGAATTGGGTAGTGACTACTTCAACACAGTTTCTTTTCTAGCCTGCTAATAAATGGCCCTGAGATACCCTATTTTGGTCTGTCACCAAGAAACTGTTCTAGAAGGGGAAAAGGGAGGAAGAAAGGGAGCCTGATAACTCACCCTTTTATATTTGCTAGTTAAAGAGATAGATTATTTTCTTTAGAAGAGAGTGGTAGAATTTGAAAATGAGTGAAAGCAAAAATAAATTTTTTACCTTTTTTTTTTTTTTTTTTGACCTCTAGGAATTTTGTTAAGTCATAGTTGGCAGGATAAGAAGATAGCTCTTAAAAGGTGGCTGACCCTTAACAACAGCAGTATGGTATTGTGATTGTGGGGCAAAGAAAGAAGAGTGACTGAGTTGAGGAGTAAAGGACGAAGTAACTGAAAATAATCCATTTTTATAAGACAATTTAAATCAGACATAACCTGGTGATATATCCTTGGATCTCATTATACAAAATTTAGCATTATGTGGAACATTTTCCCTTTGTTTCTTGTTCCTATTTGCTGCTTTAATTTTATTTGTCAGATGGACTCTACCAAAGTCTTAAGTTAAATGTTACCTAAAATACATAGGTTAGTCATTTCACTGGTATGGAGAACTTCCACACCAGAGTTAGTAGGTTGCTTTAAGTTCAGACTTGAATGGGATTTAACTACTATAGGCAACACCCCTGCAGTGCTGACTTTTTTTAGCACATGCTTGTGTAATTAACGTGTAAAAGAGTCATCCAAAAGATGTTTCTGAGAGGATCCGACAAACCAGACTCACTCACTTTTTTTTCCAGTTATTTTTAGTCCTTGTAAATCTACAGAATTTGAGAGAAAACCTTTGAAAAGGGCCAGTATTCCATGCATGCTGCTAAAATGAAGTGAAGTTTGGAAAGAAATGATATCTCCAGACAGGATTTATAGTAATCTGGGGTGTAAATGAAGAAGAAACACTAATGATTGAATTCCCTGCTTTTATTGGGGAAATAGGGCTTTTAAAATTTTGACCTCAACTAAAAATGATATGCAATAGTCTATGTGTGTGTGTGTGTTTGAAATATATCCTATTCTCAGAGATTTGTACATCCTCACATTCTAGTGATTTGGGGCATGGGCTTATGAACACTATATAACTTATTCAAACATTATTTTGGTTCATCCTTAAAGCCAAGTTCTTGCTGTCTTCTACCAGGGGCTGCTGACTCCAATTACCCATGGAATGAAGGACCTGGTAGGGATAAGGGTCTTTCAAAACTTTATGGGTCTAGGCATTTGTCTCTCCTTAAGTGCCAATCACAACTGGAGATTGAAAAACTGATTTCTGCAATGAACCTAAACTTTTGGAGTAAAAAGCCAAATCTTTTTAAAAATTTTAACAGAAAAGGAAGGAAGGAAAAAAAACCCTCCAAGTTGGTTACTTGTATAATTCAATTATGAGCAATGGAATCCCTCCAGGATTCTCATTTGGGCCTTGTGTGATTTGTTTTTCTTACTTGTGCTTTGAAGTAAATAAGCTTCAGTAAAAAAATAATTTTGTTATTGCTTTCAACATTAGATGGTGTTGACTTGAATCATGTATAGCACAGTACTTTTTGCAGTAAGATTGGTGTGAAATACTATACAGTATGGATTTTATAGGTATCAAGTTAGATGGTCAAGGGATATCTATATTGTTAGATATTGATGATCTTACTTATTTTCTATTCCACTTCACAGAGCACCTTACCCAGCTTGTGGTTTTAGGACAGCCAAAGCTCATTGTTATTGATTAGTCCTAATCTCTACACTGGGTCCCCTATATGAGAGTCTTGTTTGAATTTTGGTGAATTAGAGAATGTTGATTGGTATTACACTAAAGCATCTGGAAGGAGTGTAGCTCTGTGTCTGTCATAAAGGAGGGATAAAGACTGTAATTTGAAGGGAATAAAATATGTGAGATCCTCCATTAAGTGGTGCTTTTTGTAACCTTTAATGCTGAGATACAGAGGCTGCTTTTCAATATTTCACAAAGGAGTGGAATACAAACAAGTATGGATTTCAAACCTTTTCTCCAAATGTAATTGTCACTGGACCCTGAATTGCCTGAAAATTATATGTAACTCATACAAAAATGTGGGGTTTTCCCCATAAAACTGTTTAATAAATTAAAGTATTGCACAGCAATAATATTGAAGTTGTTTACTGATTGTCAAGATCTGTCTGCCTAGATAATCTCAGAATCTGAAGAATGTAAATTGCTAGGCAGGCACATTTGGATAAAGGGAAGAATTCATGGCTGCAGGGACATTAGTGATGTCCTTCCATCTGCCACATTTTCTCCTCTTTTTGTGCTGGGCAATGCTATCATTAATTATGGGAATGCAGACCAAGTCACTGATTTGATTTTCAGCATTTTCTCTGAACTGACTGCACATTTAGCTATTATGCTGTGAAATTATCTGAGATCTTAAACCAATGATTGTCATTCCCAGGTGTACATTCATATCACTGCTGAGGATTCTGTCAACATTAATCCCCAGTCTACTCCCTCCATCCCAATTAAATGGAAATCTCTGGTGTGTGATCCAGACAAGTATTTTTTAAGCCCCCCCACCTGATTCTAATAAAAATTTAGGGTTTGAGGAACATTATCCTGGACTCCCCTAGCTGGCTTTCTCTGTCAAATTATATACTTCATTGTATGAAAATAGATTATATACTTCATTCTGACAGCAGATCAGATGTCCTTAAGATAAGATGGTCTTATTCGGGGATATGAGTGTAACACGATCATTCTTGGGTTTTGTCCCTTTATTTTACAGGGTTTTAGCACAGCTGGCTTCTGTACTTCTCCTAAAACAACCATCCTCCCCTTTATTTAGTCCTTTAAAGATTCAACTGAGTTGAACTTTCTTAAGGGAGAGAAGAGGATGACAATACGGGGGTGACCACAGTTTGAGAACAAGGAAGTTAATGAAGGAGTAGAGGTATAATACAGGACTTGTAAGAAAAACTGTGATAATAGGAATGAAGCAAAATAGTTAGCCACAAAACTCTATTAGGCCCAGATAATGCCTGTAAACTAGAGTTAGTGGTAGATGACATGTGGACACCACCTTTGGAAGCATACCTAAACATGGCTTAGTCACTAAAACAAAATGACGGTATGATTCCATCAAGGCCAAACTTGCATTGGCATGTGCTTTCTAAAGCATCTTTTTTCTGGTCTACTTGGCTTGGGGTCTTTTGTTATATCCCTTCTAAACCTGCCCTGCTGCTCCTGCAGCCATGACAAGTGGTTCATGGACATCCTGAATCTCTCTTTGCTTTCCCTCTGGCCTTTGTGGTAACTTCATCCAGCAGCACATATGCACATGAGATGGTCTTATTCAGAGATATGAGTGAATAATATGATAAATTCACTGAAGATGAACTGCTCCATGTTTTCTGTCCAGTTGGCATTTTTCGTGCACTCAGTTGCATTCTGAAGGAAGCTCCTGACTTGAGTTTTCCTTTGTCAGAAGCCTGAGGTACATATGCTATATATTTTTAAACCCCAAGTAGGTTTCACATACTTCTTAAATATTCTTGACCTAATTGCCCTTCACGGCTGCTTCCAAAGTCCTTAATAGTGACAGTTTATGAGAAGATCAGGTAAACAAACATATCTGAAAGAGTGAAGATTACTTCAGACCTGTGTATCTGGATCTTATGGGGATGGTGGGGGAATTCTGATTTCCAGACCCATTGATAACTCAAAAGTGACCCTACATTTCTATCTTCTTGTTTTCAGGGATTTTTGTTATCAATTGAAAAGTTCTAGTTCTGTTCACAATTATAAGTTGGGGGTTAGAACTGAGTAGTGGCATGGGTGTTGGCATCAGAAAATAAGAGAAAGGGAATTGGGACAGGCTGGGGACATTTTAAATACACAATGTTTGGAAATGTTTGTGATAACTTGAAGGTAGTGTTTTTCTCCTTCAGTTAGCAGAGCTACATTCTCTAGATTGTCTGGGAGGCTGATTTACAGTTAGAATATCTGTAGATGAAGTAAAGGGAGTTGACAATCCAGAGATCCACCAGATCAAGAGCTAGTCTGAACTCAGAGAATTCTGAGGCATAGCTTCTTAATTTTAGTTGCAGCAGAGAACTGTGGTAGCAACTAAAACTAGATGAACTAAAAGTTCAGGAGAAAAGGTAGCACTGTCCAAAGTGAACTGAGATCAATAGTCATTTTATCCTTTGGGGCCATTGCTGATTATGTGCCTGGGCTGTGGATTGACCTTTGCTTAGCCAGAGTGTATCTGATGAGGTAAACAATAAAGCTCCTAGCAGTATTATGAGCTAATAGAGGGGCAAGTTGGAAACCTGGGGGACTTCAGATGTGCAGCTGGTTTTTCCCGAAAGGACACTTGCTAAGTATGGGAAGTGTAGGAGACACCATAAAGCTTATAAAAAGAGTAAAATTTCTCAAAGATGTATAATGCTAAGGTCATAAAGACTAACTAAAGCTAGGGGACTCAACTGAAGCATATGGTTCTAAAACATTTGCCAAGCACTGAAGTAAGGCAAAGTATTATAACTAAAGAGCTTTTCAAACGTTTTTTGGAGGAGCAAACAATACTAGAACAAAACTCAAGGATACAAAAATATCCAGCTCTCAACAAGATAAACAGCTACAATGATTGACAGCCAACCAAAAATTATTAGGAAGGCTTCTAGGCAAGATGGAGTAACATGAACTGGATTTACCCTTCCACCAAAAACAACATGTCAGACACTGTATGAACCAATAGTTTTCAGACATTGTCTTAGTCTATTTGTGCAGTAATAACAGAATACTTGAAATTCAGAAATTTGTAAAGAAGCCGGGTGTGGTGATTCATACCTGCAGTCCCAGCAATCCTGGAGACTGAGGCAGGAGGATCACCAAGTTTGAGCCAGTATCTAAGTTGGTGAGGCCCTAAGCAGCTTAGTGAGACTGTTTCAAATTTTAAAATTTCTAAAAAAGGTACCCCCCAAAAACTAAACCCACATATAGAAAGATTTAATTACTACAGTTCTGGGGACAGGGAAGTCAAGATCAAAGGCCTAGTACCTGACTAGGGCCTTTGTGCTATGTCATCCCATGTGAAGGGTAGAACTCAACCTTTTATAATAAACCCACTCCCACAATAACAGTAGCAGTCCATTAATGAGGCAGAATCTTCATAGCCTAATCACCTCTTAATGTTACTATAATGGGATTTAACTTTGTAACACATACTTTTTTGGGAGATACATTCAAACTACCCTAGATATTAAATATCAAGCAATAAAGAATGATGACCTCTGAAATATGGGAAACAGATGAAGTGAGCCCTTTAACTTCTCAGCTTACTACCCTGAGAGTTTCTGAGTTATGACTGGAAAACTGAATTTCCGGCCTAATGAACTGCCTAAGTTGAGGACATGGAGTACAGAACAGAAGGGTTTTCCATTAGTAGTAGGGAACTATTAGCTCAAGACTAAATGTGGATAGTACATAGAATAATGGCCCTTCAAAGATATTTTTGTGTTAACTCCCAGAATCTACAGTTATGTTAGCTTCTATGACAAAAGGTAACTAAGATTGTAGATGGAATTAAGGTCAGCTGACCTTGAAATGGGGAGTTTGCCCTGGATTATTTAGTTGGACCTAACTATAAGTGGAAAAAGCTTTGAGTGATATGATATGAAAAGAACTTGACTTATTTGCTGGCTTTGAAGTTGGAAAATGAGGGCCATGAACCAAGCCATGTAGGTGGCCCCTGGGAGCTGGAAATTAAGGAAATGGATTTTCTCCTTGAGCCTCTAGGAAAGAGGGGCTTTAATTTAACCCAGGGAGACCCATTTTGGAGTTAGGAACCAAAGCAATATAGGATGATTTCTGTTATTTTAAGCCACTGGATTTGCTGTAATTTGTCACAGTAGCCATAGAAAACTAATACAAAATCTAAATCTTAAAATGCTGAGAGTCATATGGATTAAGTTATTTCCACAACTGTATCCCAGAACAAAGCTCAGATATTTACAGAAAACAAAAAATACCTAGCATCATCAAACAAGATAAAATTTATAATATCTGATATCCAATAAAAAATTATGAAGCATTCAAAAATAGGAAAATTAAACCATAATGAGAAAAAACAGAATAGAGACAGCAGACAATGGATATTGAAAGATAAAATTTCTTTGACATATTTGGAAAGATTGACTGTATGTCCATATACATATATATTTATATCACTTGAGCTTCAGAGGTTAGAACTACAAATCATGAGAGGAAAAATAGATAAACATTAGACATTGCAAAACAACGCAAGCCAGTCAAAATGAAACAAACAATAAAAAAAAAGCTTTCAAAGATAAACAGTGCAGGGCTGGGTTGTGGCTCAGTGGCAGAGTGCTTAGCCTAGCATGTGTGAGGCTCTGGGTTTGATCCCTGGCACCACATAAAAATAAACAAAATGAAGATATTGTGCTCGCATACAACTAAAAAAATATTTTTTTAAAAAAATGAACAGTGCAGGGGATTCAAGATGGCAGGCTGGAAGAAGGCTGTATTCTTTGTTCAAGGAACAGAGATTCAAGCAGCAGGAATAGGTTGGTGAAGGAGGGGTTTCACTGTAACTCCATATTGGGCAATCAAAGTGTCTTAGAGACTCAGAAAATTGGATACATTAAACAAAGAAAAAGATTACATTGTTGATTGCAGTGCTGGCTCAACATTGAGGGAGGGATAATGCAGAGAAACAAACAGATTTAGTATGGAAAATTATGAGATCAGAAAAGCGCCTACCTTTAGCTAATCCAGAGGCTGCTCCATACCTGGTATATATTAACTTGCCCCAGAAAGCTGAAGCAGGAGCCATCTTGAGGAGGCCATGCTTCAGCAGCTGTGGCAGGAGCTGGGAGATGTGAGCAAATGCTATGTTCCTGGTTCGGGTGCTGGGTTCCTGGTTCAGCAAAGAATTGAAGAACAGGACACAGATAGCAAGTACAAAGTAGGTTTATTGTAAAAGCAACAGAAATACAGAGATAGACTTCTCCGAAAAGAAGGGCCCCCAGAGCTGGGAATCCTCTGGGGTTGTTTGGCTTGTTCTTTTTATGGTCTCTGGAGTTTCCTTCTTCTGTCCTCCCCTAATGTGCTCCTCACTGTTATTGAT